CAAAACGCCCTAAATGAGATGCTCCAAACCGCAAAGTCCTTACCCGAGAAAGGACTAACTGTCAACGAAACGTTCGTCCTTCACCTCTTCCTGGATGCCCTTTCGAACGAGTATGCCATGACAAAGCACAACCTGCGACAAGCGAAGGAGTTGACGCGGACCGGTGTACTAAAGGAAGTAATGATCGAATACAAGGCGATCAAGGACAAGCTGGAGGAGGGGAAAGGAAAAGGGGCGAAGGGCGCAGAGCAAGCGTACTTCGCCGACGGTGAGGGCCGCAGGGAGCGGTACTCAAGTAGGAGTCAGGGGCAAGGTCGTGGTCGTGGCGGCGGCCGTGGACGCAGCAGCAGTCGTGGCCGCGGCGGAGGCGGTCGCGGCGGCGGCGCGGCGGTCGCGGCGGCCGCTCAGGCGGATCCGGAGGAGAACGAGAGCAGAGCGGATGCATCACGCCAAGTTTGGGGGGGGGAGAGAGACTCAGAGAGTGAGTCCGACCTCGACGTGATGGAGGCTCGTGGACCAGGGCAAGCGACGCCGTTTGTGCGCGAGGAGGCGCCGACGGCACCCGGCAACGGGATTCCGGGGGACGGAGGCAGCGTTCCCCCGTCGCCCCCTTCGGGAAGGGGCGACTTCGGCGGAGACAGTGACAGCCCCACCGACAGCAGCAGCAGCAGCAGCAGCAGCAGCAGCAGCAGCAGCCTGAGCAGAAGCAGCAGTGATGCCGGCGGTGCCGGCGGCCCGGGCAGCGAAGAGCCCGGCGACCCAGGTGGGGACGGCGGTAGCGATGGTGATCCCGGCGACTCCGAGAACCTCGAGGAGTTGAAGTATGATCCAGCCGACGACCGCTACCCCCGCGGGCTAGAAGGGAAGAAACTCCTCTGGGGCGCCTCGAACGCTGGCCCGCTGCGCCATGGGCTTGAGAGTGGCCGCACGCGGAAGCAGACCCGGGAGATGCAAGGTGCCGGGGAGATGCCGGGGCCCGGAGAAACACCGGACCCGGAAGAGGCACTGCTGGCGACCATCCTGGAAACTGGCGGGACGGGGATTGTTGAGGACTACATCTGCAACTCGCTTGTGAAGGAGCAGTGGGACGAGGAGCAGACACGCCGTATGGAGGAGATGTACAGGCGCGAGATGCAGGAGGTGTTGGGCCCGGAACAGCAGGCGTTCGGGGCCGAGGTCGACGCCAGCGGGTATTCGCAACCTCTCCCAGACCCACAGCTAAGTATGACCTCGCCAATCGGGCAGAAGCCGAGTGATGTGGAAGCAGTGCCGATGACGTACAAGGATGTGATGTGTTCCAAGTGCATGGTTTTCTGGGTGGCGGCCATGAAGAAAGAGATAGATGGCCGCGACAAGACTGGAACCTTTACCAAGGTCATGGAGCTGCCCGAGGGACGGAAAGCCATAGGTTCAGAGTGGGTGTTTTCTTGGAAGACGAATGAGAAGGGCCTGATAGTCGACTTCAAGGCCCGTATGGTTGCGCGGGGTTTCTCTCAAATCCCCGGCATTGACTTCCACCACTCATCCTCAGCGTGCCTGTCTCCAGCGTCTATCAAGACGGTGATTGCCGTAGCCACTGAAAAGGGCAAGAAACTCGCTCACTGGGATGTGAAGCAAG